AAGCACACATACAAATCCTGTCCAAAAACAATTTTTAAATTTATCCACCAGAGGCAACTTCTCCCTATACAGTGATGAATACACCTATGAGTATACCTTGCTCAAATGTATTCTTATAAAATAAAAATCATAAAATACAAACAAAATTCATATTTATGATAGATAATTCCAAACAAGTAGGTACTTGAAAAAAACAATAAAAATAAAAATAAATCTGCAATACAAAATACAAATTAYATAATATTTTTTACCATTATTCAAAAATTATTTATAACTGAAAACCATKAATCTTTAGGTAGATCTACTAAAGCTAAGAGTAATATTTTTTTCTAAACGACAACTTGTTTGACAATTTCTTATTTTTGTCATAATTTCTCCAGGTTAGGTTATTAAATTATWTATTCAATAAATTTTTCTTTACCTTTAATTTTACTAGAGCTGTAATGTTTACCCAAAGTCTCCAAAAAATATTGATAATTTTGCCTTGCGAGATTTCCTGGCATAGCCATATGAAAATCTAATTTGTTTCCTTTAAGTTTATAGCAGAGAGTAAACTGACTAATTGACAATATTTCATAACTCATGTCCATTACATTGCAATGCCATTTCTTTTCATCTTGATCGAAAAGACGTAGCTTCAATATCTTCTGCACCCTGTAATGATAAATATATTAATATTAGATAAAAGTTAGGTTAGGTCRAAAGTAATAACATTTTGTAGTAAACATTTTATAATTTAAAAACTATTCATGATAWAAAAGAAAAATATTGTACAGCTCAATAAATGCTATTAAAAAATTGACAAATATTTTGTAATTTAAAAATTTAAAAATTTCATATTATATAGAAAAACAAAACATATAGGTGATTAAATAATGAGTTATTTCAAATATTAAAAATTTAAAYTCAACATTATCTTACATGGCATCAATATCATTTTTTTCATCAGTTTTCTGCAAACCCACCAACAAACATAAGCCTTTAGTGATTGAATTTACCTCATGTCCACCAACTAAAAAACAACAACAAATTTGAACACAATTAAAATAATTAAAACTTATACCAAAACCTTACCTACATATTAATATGTAAACTATTGTTTCATCTATAGTTAAGAATTTCTCGTCGAAAATAAAATTGAGGAAGATACTAAGGAATATCATCAAGGTCGATTATTTTCTGATAGTAAAGTTGCATATTGGAACATGCTTAATGAAAAAATTAATAATCACAACAAAAATTTTCATTTTTAAAATCAAAACAGGACCATTCTTTTACTATTAATAAAATAAAATAAATGGCTAGTATTCAGTTAGTATAATAGAATTATAATAATATTGCACATTCAATAATATTAATAATATTATAGTCACAAAGAAAATGCTTTTATTTTATATCTATACTGTGTCTCAAAGGAAAATTATTGTCATAATACATCATTAGTTTAACA